AGAAGAGAACAGAAGAGAACAGATGATGAAATTAACGCACGAAATTCAAAACACCACTGGCTAGAAGTAGAGAAATGAGCTAGAGCACAGTTGTGGTTGATTCGTCAAGTGTGAAGGACTTTCAATAGAATCGAAGACAGCTAATTGTTCTGGATTCCGCTAGTCCTTGACACTTGTCTAGATCAACGGCTTCATTAACTACAGACACTYTTACAAAGGTATTTAAAATATGAAATTAGAAGGAAAATACAGATTCAGATACTGATTARTGAACATTCCAAATGTTTGCTTGTCCAGGCAAGAATAAACCGAGTAATACCGAAAGTAGCCCGAGTAATACGAAGAAGCAGCCCGAGTAATGATAATGATAATAACARTGATGATGATGATGATGATAATATAATAATGAGAATAAGAATGATGATGATAATGAGAATGATGACGATAGTGATTAAGTAATGTGACCGAGATTAGAATGACGCTGATGATGATAATAATGATAATAATAATATATAATAATAATAATAATAATATATAATAAAATATTATTATTATAAAGATGATAACCCCAAGAAATTTCTAAAAATAGGTCAGTCCATTTCTAGAATCAGTAGCAATCATGGAGGTATGTTCTGGTTTGATTAGAGCTCATGCAGCCCAAGCAATATAATTGTGGTGTGTACGAAGGGATTTTAAAATTATAACCTGGTGATGAGTTAATTTTTCAAAAAAACTACTTTAAACTGCTAAAAACCACCCAGAATGACAACGAATACCAATAACAATAGGAGCAAGGTGTGTTCGATGTTTCAATCACATATTTTTTCGTCCCCATACATTTATCGCAACGCTCTTCGTACACACCACAAATATATTGGGCTGCCTGTGCTTAAAGTAGTTTTTCGATAGCAGAGGTGCGCAAATAACGTACCGATCAAGAAGACAAGTATTTGATAATCGTTCATTCTGCTTACGTATGTGTCGAGTGGCTTGGTATTGTAGAACAGACAAGTTGTTATTTATGATAATGTGGTTGAAGTGAAGCTCAAGGACCATGACAAGATCCGAAGTAATGACTTCTAAGTCGAGTACACATCAGGAACTTGCTGTAACGGTGTTTGAAAGATTATGGGTGGTGTTAAAGTCCGCATTCCACCTGGTAGTTGAGGTCAAAAATATATGATTCAGTAGTGAAAAATGCAGGAAGATTGAAAAAAAGATGCCGAGGAGGAGAACACGTAGAACATTTATAAAGCATAGAGTGACGGGGTTATTTTTCAAATAAATTGAAGTCTTCGTATTTCGCATATTGATCCATCTACCAGGAAAATTGCTTTTAAGATGTGCTTCCAGTGGCTGATCCAGGGGGGGGGGGGGGGGGGAGGGGGCCACGGAACCCCCCTTGAAGGTTTTCTTTTAGGTAATAGAAATATGTCTTATAAAAATTTTGCTTAAAAGTATCCACAAAGATAATGTTGAACACGAAATGATAGATATTTGCTGTGGCATGTTATAATGTTTAATTTACCTTTAAGTTCCGTTACTAGATAGTAAATTAGGTGATTAGAGCCAGTTTTTTTGTCAAACATCGACTAAACAAAAGAGAATTATACACAATTTAAGAAACGGAACCCCCCTTTGAAAAATCCTGGATYCGCCACTGGCTTCTCATTGAAAAGCGTAAAGTTATATTAAAAGACATCCTGGCAGCTATGCGGTCTATAAATTTCAGAATTCGGTGATGTTAACTAGTCCTGGTAACTACATTGCTAGCAAAATTCACGTGGACGTCAAAGTTCAGGAAGAGAAAAACCAAGAAGTTACCGCATAAAACTCACGAAAAAATACCAAATACAGAAATGATTTGAAAGGATCTGTAATGGTTCAATGCTTACAATGATAACCAGAGCCCGGTTGTACGAAGCCTGGATAGCGCTATCCGACGGATAAATCTTATCCAGTGGATAAATTTATTGGATAACAGCATCGACTTATCCAATGGATAAGAATTTATCCGCCGGATAGCGCTATCCAGGCTTCGTACAACTGGGCCCAGAACTCCGATCCGGATGCTCGCATAAACCAGTGTTGAAATCACTCCATTGGCTGCCTACTGAAGCAAGGATTCAGTTCAAGATCCTTATTATGGTATTCAAAGGATTGAACATCATGGATACTCCAATCTACATTAAGGAGATGCTAGAACCTCTTTGCACTACGAG